TATATGTGAACTGCTGTATCGAGAGTGAATTTGCTCTGTATATCTTCACCCAAATCTAAATAAAATAAAATTAAAAAAAAAAAAAAAAGTAATTCCTGTGTTGAATATTACTGCTAGGTAATATATTTACTGCAAGAAGAGAGATAACCACTAAATTTGGTAATATGGAGGTTTGGTGACCTTGCAACAAAGTGATATTAGAATGGTAGGGACATAAGCCAGATAAGAGTGGGTGCCAATGTGAATGGGAGCTAAGGAAGTGAAGGCAATGAGTGCACTATGTTCTTTTGGAAAAGGTCTGCTGTGAAGGGAACCAGACAAATGATAGAGAAGGGGAAGAGACCAGGAGAAGCTTTTCCTTTCTTCTTATGGTGAGAGATACTAAAACACATTTGCATGATGGCTATAATTATCCAGTAGAGGGGAAGACATATGTTGAAAGAAAGGAGCAAAGTCCTAGAAGAGGTGAGAGGAAGGGAAGGGAATCCAGTGCACAAGGGAAGGGCCTAGGCTTTGATAGGGGCAGGGACACTTATGCCCAGAAGATTACAGCCTTGGAAACCCTATAGGGCAGTTCTACCCTGCTAAGAGTTGGAATCAACTCAATGGCACACAACAACAATGGGAGGGAAGATGGAGAATGCAAGAATAGACACAAAGACTTAGAGATTCATATAAAGATTCCTTAAGAGGCATTCTAATTTAGACTTTTCAAAAAAATTGTATGTACACAGACTATGCTAATCTTATGCTGGATGAATTAAAACTGTTCATCATATATAAAGCTACTGGACTTTGAATCCTGTATGTTTCAAACTTAGTATCAATATGGCTAATATTCTGAAGCTAGTCATCTTATTAAAGGTTATAAAGGAAAAAAAATATTTCTATACAGTGATAAAATTCAAAACTAAATTATTAAAAATATCGTATAAAATTTAAAAGTTCAGAAAAGGCTGTAAGAAATTACTTTTTGATTAGTCTTTATAAACTAAAATCACTACTGGTAGGCAAAAATAAAACATCATTAAAGCATTTCAAGCTTTTAGTGACTTTACAGACATGAAAGTGAAAGTTCAAAATGATGGTTGAGAGTGAGGAACACAAGCAATAAGTATATGGGGCAAAACAAACACTAATGTTTTAAATACTGGGGATATATATATACACAAATCAACTGACACTGACATATATGAAAGGGCCAGAAATTACAGAATTTTTTTCCCCAATGGTTTTGTGACTATCTCATTGGATAGTCAGTTTACATTATTTCTTCTGTGTGACTTCAGCAAAAACTTTGGAAAGGGAGAACAAAGATTGTAGGGATTTTTTTACTCACTAGTTAACTAAACAAAGAGGCTCTGGTGGTGTAGTGGTTAAGGCATTTGGCTGCTAACTAAAACGTCAGTGGTTTGAACCCACCAGCTGCTCTGTGGAAGAAAGATGGGGTGGTCTGTGTCTGTAAAGATTTATAGTCTTGGAAACCCAATGGGGGTTGCTATGAGTTGGAATCGACTTGATGGCAGTGAGTGAGTTTTGGAGTAAATTAAATAACAGTTAGAAAATAAAAAAAACAAAAACCCGGGGAAAGATTAAATTCTGAAGAAAAACAAATCAATATTTTAATCCTCATATGAAAATGAAGAAATGACAACTAATTTTTGTGTAAGCAATTTCAATTTTACAGTATACATTAGCCCTTGTGGCACAGTGGTTAAGCACTTGGCTGTTAACCAAACAGTCAGTATGACCTCATGCCTTGGAAACCCAACGGGGCAGTTCTACTCAGTCCTACAGGGTGGTTATGAGTCAGAATTGACCCTACGGCAATGGGTATATATAAAATATATATTATACTGAATGAGCTACACAACCAGAAATTTAATCTTGCTAAAAGTTTTATATTTATTGACAATAAATTTTAATATCAATATAACTAACATTCTAGAACAAATATTACTATTGAAGGTAAATAATATATATCCAAATATATGTTATATAGGTGTGTTTTTTATCTATGCACATATATAAACACATTCTGTGTATCAAACATTAAAATAATATGGAATCATCTTTGCGCAAGGAAGCAAAGGCTCTTTTACTGACTCCTCCTGTCAATGGCAAAGCACTTCTAACTCCTTTCTCAACTCCCCCACCATCCTTACCCCAATTACCATGCTCTGGCTCTCTTATCTGGCCTTCTGGACTACATGCCAGTGCAACTGTCTTCACTGGCACGACAAACAGATGGCAGAAGAAAGTACATTTTGTTCTGTTAACACCTGACACTCACCACTGCTTTTCTCTTTCTCTGCCCCATGCAGTTTCCCTGGGAATGACTTCTGGGAAAAGGGAAGGAGAAACTGGCTCATCATTACTCCTCTCAGGATTAACGTGCAATGAGACACATAGAATATTCTAAATTAAACTTTCTCCATAGTGCTATATTTTGGCTGGCAGGACCATACTCGAGTCCCTTCTATACCATCTTGGACACAAACAGAATCAGGTTAAAAATATGGTCAGTAAAGTGTTCAGGGTATTTTTTGTTTGGGGGTTAGTGTACAGTCTTCTTTATTTAGCCAACTAGTAGATAAATATGATTTCCCAAAAAAAGCACTTAAATACTCCACACCCCTCAAGTAAAAGCAGTTTTTACAGAACTCCACTGGATAACAAAACTATATAAAAAATAACAAAACTATATAAAAAAAAGCTAAGCTATAAAGTTATGGCATTAATCAAACCTTCTGGGCAAGTCCAATTCAACTACCACTATTAGGCCTTTAGTGTAGTGGCCTTACCTTTGACTCACTTAAGTTTAACATTCAAAGGGATGCAATGCTAACAAAGGGGCAAGGTGGGCAGACCTCACCTTTATCATTAAATGCATTGCAAGGGTCAGCATGAATTTAATTCTTAGCTGAAAAAGGATCCAGGCTTCACCTTCCCATAACTCCATATGCTGTTGCCAGCCACTCCCATGGCAACTCCTCATTCTGACCCTAACCACCCAGAGTTAGTGCAGACTTCATACCTGGCTACCTGGAGCTGGGTCAAAACATCCCTGGCCACCTGTGGCTAGGTCATGGGGGGGCCATACATATGGTCAGGAGTCTGCACAACTCCCTGCATTTCAGATTAGCCAAGCTCGCTCTATCTCTAGTCTCTTGGGACTAGTTCACAAGTTCAAACAACTATTTTTCTTACTCGACTGCCCATGCAGCCTTTCTTTGTCCATTGTTGTTGTTGTTATGTGCCGTTGAGTCGGACCTGACTCATAGCAACCCCTCCTTGGGTTTCTGAGGCAGTATCACTACGGAAGTAGATTGCCCCATCTTCCTTCCGAGGAGTGGCTGGTGGGTTTGAACCGCCAGCCTTCTGGTTAGCAGTCAAGTGCCTTAGGCACTACACTGTTAGAGCTCCCCTTTGTCCATTAGCCACCCACAGCTAGTTCTTCATGAGTTAGGACTATACCCTTAAGACTGCCTGCATAGCCCTCCTCTGAATTAGCTACACCAAGCTAAGTCAGAGCCTCATTGCCCCTTGTGGGTTAATTCTCTGTAACAGCTGACAAAATTCAGAGACTATTACCTACTTACAGTTATACATTTATTATAACCAGGAAGGATATAAGTGAAGAGATGCATCAGGCAAGAGCATGTATCAGTTACTAGCACTGGGCCTCCGTTGTGTCTAGGGACAAATGCATCCTCTTCTGTGCATGGATATTCTCATTAATCCAGGAGGCCTCAAAGTGACAACTCCAAGGCCCTGAGTCCCTTAGTCATTGAGAACTCAATGAATATGTATAATTGGGGCCTCAGTGCATAGTTATGATCACCCAATCAATGAATATGCATGATACATATTCCTGAAGTAAGCTGGGCAGGTGTGGGGCCTGTGTAGCCCTTACGTGACTGGCTATTTTGGTAACAAAAGCACCCTAATTGCTCAGGTTATTTTAAAAAAAACAGATACAAAACTATAAATCCATTTCCTTGTCTCACAGGGACCAATGGTAGAAAAGTTTAAACTATTTCTTCTGCAGTTGGTCTTGCTACCTCTTTTTAGAACTAAAAAAATCCTTTTAGATAATGACAAGCCTCAAATCGATTTTATGTGTGAAGCTTTCTTAATTGACCAGACACATCAGTTTGTTTGGAGCTCAGTATAAATATGTTTAAATCAATTCACTAATAACAGATTATTAGTAATTGATTTACAAAGTATAACTGAAATATAATCAATCTAAACTACTGATTCATGGGCTTAACTTTTTTCCCTGGGAAACCAGCCTTTGTAATGAAAATACCTGAATAGGTTCTTCTGTTTGTTGTGAAGTATATTTTTCTTTTAATGCATATAGTTGACATGTGAGGTAGTAACATTCTTTTCTCAGCTGTAGGATGATATCTTGGGCTTCTCTCACTTTGGATTTTTCATTTTCCAAAGCCAAAACTAACATTCTGTTGTTATCCTGATAATTTTTCAGCAGTGTAGAAGTGTTGCCTAAAAGAAGATTAAAACACTCTATGTCACTAACTCTAAAGTTTACAAATGATGAAAAAGGACAACATGAAAATCTCTTACTGGTTATCTGACATGGCACAGCTACAAAAGACTTGCGTTTGCCAATCTCTGACAAGTTTTTATTTCTTTTCTCTTTCATTCTTTTCTTTATGTCTTCAAGACTCTCTTGAAAGGACTTTTTAAGGCATCGTTCCTTGGCCATCTTCTGCCTAGGAATAAAAAAAAAAATCTTTAATATTTCCAAGAGACAACATTGTTATAAAATATAAAATCTGAAATTGAAAACATAGGTTGTTCATAATGAACTGACAAATAGCTAAACTGGTAATAGCCTAGATTTTGATGCTTTTGAAAAATCTTCCCTGTTACATTTAATCAAGTTAAAATCACAAAAGAAATTTGTCACATCGGAAGTTTTATTTGCTGTCTAGGTGGATGCATTCAATAGGAGGTGTGGTACTGAGAGCGAATGAAAACAGGCAGGATGTCGGTCTCAATCTGTAACATTCTCGTAAGGAGTTTTGATTCAAAAGAACGTGGGATATTTGATCCCGGTCTTTAATTCTCTCACTAGTCCTGCTGCCGACTGCCAGGTAGGACTCTGGTCAGTGCCGGTCTCTGTAGGGTAATCGACGGACCCAAGGGCCGAACAACAGGTGAAGGACGGTATCGCGCTTCACAAAGTATAGCTGCCAATTTTTGAGCCCTTACAGTGAGTCTGGCTTTTAATTACCGTAAATGCTTTACTTACACATCACTTAATCCACATAACTCCGCCAGATAGGAAGTTCAGGTCTCCATTTATTTAACAAAAGAGGAACGAGCATCGGAAAGCGCAGATCTGGTGGATGAACAGAGACAGTCACCCCTACTCCACAGACTGAACTTTTGGCCACCAAACTTAGACTGACATTGAGACCCCTGAGGGAGGTGGAACAGGGGTCCAGACGCCCCAGTTCCACACCTGAAAGCCTGTGGCCTCTTCTTACCCCGAGGGCTCCAGGAAAGCCCAAAGGAGGAAGGGAAGGGGAGGCGGAAGCGGGCCGGCGATCAGCCTCCCGCGGGCGTGTTAAAAACAGTACCTTGGCTGCCACCTCTGTTGCCGTCCTCACATTCCAAGACTCCGCGAAGCTGTTTGGCCGCGCAAGAGCCCACGGCCTGGGTTCCCCAAAGGGCTCTGCCACAGTCTCCCTCAAGTTCCGCGGACACATTCGAAATTCTCCGCTGCGCTCGCCCATTGGCTGGCTGGGGGGAGACCACGTGATACAACAGCTCCGTCAACCTTCAACAGCGCAGAGGGAGTCCCGCCCCGCTTGGCGGCTCCCAGTGACACGCTCTGTCCCGCCCCTCCACTTCCGGGCAGCAGAGACCCAACCCTGGGGGTGGAGCTATTGGTCCAACCTCCCGAGAATCCTGAACTTTTCTTAATAGCATCTTTGGGCTTTTACGGATGGAGCCACACCTGGAACCCCTGGGAGACCTTTAAAGCAAAAAACAAACAAACAAACAAACAAATGAAACCCTTAGCCGTGGAGTCAGTTTCAACTCATAGCGACCCTTTAAGACAGAGAACTGCCCCCATAGGGTTTCCAAGACCGTGAATCCTTACTGAAGCAATGAGCGTCTGGTGGATTCAAACCGCCCGACTTTCACTTAGCCTCAGAGCGCTCAAACCACCGTGCCACCAGGGCTTCTCGGAGACACTTGAGAAGGAGTAAGTTCGGTGGTTCAAAAACTTCGTTTCTTTAGTCTAACAACTTTTTATCTCTTGGTTGTGCTCAAGGGCTCCCTCTCCTGAGAAGAATTTCATTGTTTGGTTGTTGGCCCCAAGTATCCTGCTACACACAGGTAGCTTTTGGGGAAATTAAAACCAAAATGGGGAGCAAATTTTGAATTAGCAGTATAGTATTAGGAAAAGTTAGGATACCAGGTTCTTTACTTTTCTCTCTGGCTTTTTCTCCCCCAGGAAATGGCACCAGCATTCGTTTAGTTACCTACCCAGAAGCCTGGGGAATGGTCCTGCTGATTATTTTCCCTCAGTCCTTCCACATCAAATCACCCAGTTCTGTCTATTTGACTTTCTAAGTATTTCCCACGTTCACTCACTTTATTCCATCCCCTAATCCAGCCTTCTTTCACCTCTTTCCTTAAACTGTAACAGGGCTCAGTGGAGTCTGACCCAACTCTGCTCCCTTGTGTTCTTCATAGCCAGAGTGATTATTTATTTTTTTAAAAAAGCATATCTGATCATACTACTCCCCCGCTTGAAACCTTACAAATGGCTCCCAACTGCATTTAAGGTGAATTTGGAACTCTTTAAGATGTTTGGTCCTCATGATCCCTGGTTCTACCTCTTCTGAATTTTCTTTCATTTCTTTGAAATTCCTCTTGCAGCTTTTGTCCATTTATGCTATCAAAAAAAGGTCTTTCCTCCTTCTTGGCCTGCCTTACACATCTCCAGGTAAAGGTGAATTCTTCCAGAAAGCTTTATCTGTCTGCAAAATGCTCTTTGTATTCTATGAGTGCCCTACACTTTCACATTGGCACTTCTAGTGGCATTGCTTGCTTATTTAAGTTGCATAAGGGTAGGGACACTATCTGCCCTGTTCATAGTTAAATCTTCAGCACCTGTTTAGCAATTTGAAGTCAACAAATATCACTGGGACGATAACGGAATTAATAAAGGAAACCTAAACAATTACTTAGGAGCTCTGGTAGCATAGTGCCTAAGGCACTTGACTGCTAACCAGAAGGCTGGCGGTTCAAACCCACCAGCTACTCCTTGGAAGGAAGGTTGGGCAATCTACTTCTGTAGTGATACCGCCTCAGAAACCCAAGGAAGGAACAACAACAAACAATTACTTTGAATGTAGGCGTTTTTAAAAAAATGATAATTAATGTTTACATAGAGCTAAGTCTACTCACCTTAGTCCAGAGGCCCTCTTGACTTGAGTGGAAAAAATTGAAACATGTTTCCCCAGCCAACAACTCCCTTATTCTTTAAGTGTCACCCACTAGATCACCCCATTAATCCTTAGTTTACTAACATTGGGCATTTGTTGCAGAATCATCAAAAAGTAAAGAGCAGAGAGGCATTTTGTTCACAGGAGCCAGAGGGTTGGAAATGGAAAGTGAGGATGGGGCTGGTTTCTTAAGCATGCAATATATAGATGGCTGCCAAGGAGCAGACTCTGATTCATGAGAACCTTATGTACAATAGAATGTTAGGTTGCCTTGTCTTGTGTAGTCATCATGATTGCTAGCATGTTCAAGTCCATCATCTCAGCTATTGTGGAAATCCATCTCACCAAGAGTCTTCCTTGCCCTTGATGGCTCTTAATTTCACCACAGGTGATGTCCTCCAGCCATTGATTCTTCCTGATGACGTGTCCAAAGCAAGCAAGTTGGCTATTGTTCTATTGTGAGCCATAAGGTTTTCATTGGCTGATTTTTGAAAGTAGATCACTAGGCTTTTCTTCCTACTCTTAGTCTTGAAGCTCCATTGAAACCTACTCACCATGGGTGACCCTGCTGGTATTTGAAATACCAGTGGCATAGCTTCCAGCATCCCAGCAACACACAAACCACCACATTATGACAAATTGACAGATGGCTGATAGTCATGGACATGAGATCTGTACAGTTGTATAGGATGCCACACTCAGAAGGTCTTTGTACTTGGTTTACCTTCTGATGTTGAACATGCTTAATTTTATTTTTGTGTTTTGTTAAGCTCTCACACATTGTTGGTCCACTGGAATTCTGTACTCACATTCCGTAGCAAAGCACCTGTAGCAGGAGATAGAGGAACACTGACAGCCCTAGAAGGCCAGGCTTTTCTTTTGAACTAGAACTGGCTTTGAATGCATAAAGAAGGCAGTGTTATATGAAATGCAAATGGCTGAGATAACTTGGTGTGTTTTACAACTCTTGTTACTGTTGTTAAGTGCTGTTGAGTCAATTCTGACTCATAGAGAAAAGATGTATAACAGCAGGAAACATTGCTGGTACTGTGCCATCTTCGTGATCATTGTATATTTGATCTCATTGTTTTGGCTATTACATCAATCCATCTCATTGAGCATTTCCCTCGTTTTCACAGACTCACTCATCTAGCTGATAAGTGTTGACCTATAAAAGGAGAACTCCATTAATCAAAAGTTCTTTTATAATGTACTAGATATTTAGCATATCTATGGCATAATTCAAGTTAACAAACGTCTTAAAAATCTTACTCTAGAATAATGGTCCATATTAGTAGCTGCATTATTTACAGATTTTTTTCAAAATGTGAAAGCATGTTGTCTTAGTTACTTAGTGCTGCTCTAACACAAATATACCACAAGTGAGTAGCTTGAAAGAATTTTAAAATATTTTTCCACAGTTCTGGAGACTAAAATCAGTGTCTTCACTTTGTAGATTCCTTCCATATTGGTATCCCCAGGCGTTCTCTGGTTCCTTGGTGTTTCTTGGCTTGTGGACAATTCTCACATGGTGTCCTCCCTTGTGTGTGTGTCTCTGTGTCTTGTTCTCATCTTTTTATAATTCAGAAGTGATTAGGGTTAAGCTCTGCAGTGAATTGCTTGATGTGGCCCTTCTAGCCACTGGCAGTCGACTCTGTGGTGGGATTTGCCGTGAGCAACTGAGTAGCTGCTGATTGTCAAAGCCATCCACTTGGGTTATTTCTGTTGGCACAGCACAGGTGGGATATATCTTGAGTCCCGCCTTGCTGGAGGGTGTAACTCAAATCACCACCCTTAGCTTCCTTGATGGTATACCTATGAATCTCCGGGGAATGTTCACCCTCCTCTTGCCCTGGTTCTGCGTTTTGGCTTATCATCATCTCACCTCTGGATTTGGGACAGCAGCCATCATCTGATCTGATTGAAGTTTGTCAAACCCCAAGAATTGGGAGGATCCGCCAGACCTACATACAAACTTGGGACTTGCCAGCCTGCCAGTCTTCACCACTGCTATGAGAGACGATCCCTTGAGTGTCTGTGAGTTCTGTGAGGCATTACAGCGAAACACAGAACCCTAAGACGGGGAGGATTACTGAGGGGAGGAGGAGGAGTTAATGTCTGAAATGATGGAGTGGCACAGTAGTTTGGACATTTGGGACATCTTTAACCTCTGCCTCATGGGGACCAGCCTTGTGTTGATTTTTCTAAGAGAAATTGTTCAAGCAAGATCCACGCTACA